GCAGGAATCCTCTTGGGCAATTACTCCAACTCTCTGAGCCTCAACTGGAAATATGGGGATAATTATGGGACCAGCCTCCTTTGATTGCTCCAAGAATTCAATGAAGCCAAGTATTTAGAACAGGGCTGGGTATCTAGTAAGTACCGTATAAGAGTTTACAGAATGAAAATAAAAACTAAAGGTGGTCTGGACCAGGGAGATAGTGGCAGAAGTGGTGAAATGTGATCCGATATATTTCGAAGGGGAGCCAGTGGGGACTGGCAAGAACTGGGTGTCAGTGCGAGAGAAATCAGGATGATTCCAACACCTCTGGCCCCAGTAACAGAAAGAATGTGGGTTCCATTGACTGGGATGGGGAAGACGACAAGAGCAGCAGGTTTGGGGGGAAACTGGCATTTTGCTGTTGGACATATAGTGTTTGAAATGCCTACGGACATCCAAGTGAAGATGCTGATTAAGTGGAGGGGCATTTAAAACTCAGAGAAGAAGCCTTCACCAGAGATACAAATTTTGGAGTTACCAGTACATGATAGTAGCTAAAGGTCTGGGACTGGATGGGACCAGGAGGAAGCGTTGGTGAAAAGAGAATAGGTGGAGGACCTGGGCCCTCCAGTGTTTGGAACTTGGGACACAGAAGAGGAAACCAGCAGAAGAGATTGAGGGGTGACCGACAAGGTCAGAAGAGGACCAAGAGCAGGGTCATGAAAGGCGCACGAGAAAAGAGGTTCAAGAAAGGGAGCGATAGTGGTCAAATGCTGCTGCCACTGCTGTTGCCACCACGACAAAGGAGACGGACCCAGAGAATCATCCGTTGGATTTGGCAATGTGGAGGCCAACGTATGCATGTCAAGAGCTGCTGACTGGGAAAAAGGCCCGATCGTAATGGGTTCCAGAGGGAACTGTGGGAGAGAAATTGGAGACAGAGAGTATAGAGAAAAGGGGTCATTGAGCTTCACATGTACACCAGACCTCCACGTGGAGCAGGATGAGTGGTTGGTCCACAGAAACAGGAGGAAAGGCCTGGTACAGGGGCCCAATGCAAACTCACACAAGCCTCTTCAGATGACTGCTGTTTTCCCAGTGAAGTAGGAGGCGATTGTGGTCATGAGCTAGGAATGGGCTGGCAAGAGACATTGGGGTTTGAGAATTAAGGGAAAGCAGTGTGAAATAATCTCTAAACGAGTGTGAGGGTGAGTGGAAAGGGGGAAAGCAGTAGGATTTCTGGGCAGGACTAAGAGCCAACTTGAGGTGGGATCATGAATTTATGGTGAGACCATTCAGCACGGCTGTGAGTTCTTCTCAGCAATGTTCAGCTGCCCCAGTGCAGGTGAAGCTTAGGTGGCAAGTGGGATTTAACCAGAACTGGCATTGTGCCAGACTGGTATCATGGAGCAACAGAGGGGCAAGGAAGTTGAGGGTGAAAACAGGAAGTGATTATAATGATGGAGAAGCATGAAGTCAACCAGAGATCAATTCAGGAGGCTTCCAGCATTCTCGCCCTTGGCTGACAACTGGCTCTATCTTAGAAGTTGTAGGAGAAAGAGTTGAGAGGGCAGGAGGAGACCTCAAGTGAAATCTCACCATTTTGCCCAGGGGAGTACTTTCGGTTCCTACAATGGAATTTAATTTTGCTAAGATGGGAAGTGAGGATACGGTTGGGGAGGGGGACAGTGAAAAAGTAACAGGATCGATGTCTTGTGGATGCCAGTGAGATTAAAGGATCTTGGGAATCGAGCACTAGAGGGAGTGAACTGGACAGAAAGACTGGGAGGCCTGAAACTGAGATTAGAAGCAGTGCAGTTATGACAAGGTCCAGGCAGCCACAGAAATAAGGTCTCAGTGGGAAGCATGGAGGCAAAATCACTGGAGAGAAGCGGTTTAGGAACCAAGAGTCCAGAATACAGGAAGGGTCATCTAAGTGGCTACGGAAATCACCAAGAACTGCTGGCAGGAGAAGAGATGGGGAGAGAGGCGGCAAACCAAGAGCTAACATCTTCCTGGGATGCAGGGAGTGACCTGGGAGTCTGCAGACAGCTGCAAAAGAAGGAGGAGCAGGTGTATGGTCTGATGGCATGAGCTCCAAAGCTGCCATTTTAGGACAAGAGTGAGGAATAATGGTCGGGAAGCAACAGGGAGGAGTAAGTAAATGCCTATCTCACCTCCTGGCTCAAGAGCACGAGGCAGTGTGGGACGGAAGACAGCCACCACACGAGGCGGCTGCAGCTCAAGCAGCGTTCTCAGGGGAGAGGCAGCTTCTGCTCAGAACAGGGAGGTGAAGGGAACGTCCAGAGAAGGGGAGAGGATGTAGAGGATTTTTCTGATGCTGGAACCTGAGTTTCAGACAGTGCAATATTAGGATTTGGAGAGTTGGGGAGGGGTGGGAAGTGAGTCAGATTAAGGCATGTACAGAACCACATGGGGAGGGAGCTGGGGTGGTGAGGAAAAAAGCATGGTGGTATTGAGCATGGAGGCCTCCATATGGACTGCAGCCATGAGGCTGAGTGTTGGGGAGCAGAGATTATGGGGCAACGTCACTGTGTCTGTCCCCTCTCATTCTCTCTTCAACCCATCCAACTGGGCCCTGGCCTACTGAAACTGCTCCCATTAAGGTCACCTCCATATTGCCAAAATCAGCGATTCCATCTCCATCCTCATTTTATTTGACCTCAGCAACATCCTACACAGATGTTGACTTCTTCCTTCTTTTCACTTCTTTGTCCCAGTCCTCTCTGGGTTTCCTTTTTCCTTCCTGGGCACTCCTTCTCAACTCCTTTGTGGGCTACTCCTCCACAGCTACACCCTTGAAGGTTGACATGCCCCAGGCCATTGGTCTGTCTACATTGTTTCACCTCCTCTTGGACCTGCCCAGGTGAACGCACAGTCTCCCAACCATCCCCACTGCCACCCCAAGCAGGTAGCTGGTACTAGACCTTTACGTCCTCCAATGAACAAAAGTCTAACTTAAAGAAAGACATAAGAGTTATTTGCACATTGCTAGTCATGGTGAAGCTAGTTTTTCAGTGAGCATTGTAGGAATTCTTGGCTTAGGCCATATGTCAGGCATTGAGTGACATGAAGAATGTGCAGGACAGTGTCTGCCCGCAAGTTGTTCAGAGTCCTCTTAGGAAGACAAACAGAGGTGCATAAAAATATGGTACTTCTGAATATGAAGAAACACCACCAGAGCTGCACAGTATTCAGGTAGCCAGCCACTTCCTCCTACGTGTATCTCAAAGCCACAATGAAGTGACTTACTTGAGATCATACCACTAGTTAAGTCACCCTGGGGATCAGACGCAAGACTCTCAACACTCAAACCAGTGCTCTTGCCATGGGATCTCCACAGGTGGTTGAGATAAGTACGGCGGGAACTGGAATGAAAGCACTGTGTCATCATGAATTCTAGAACCAGACTGCCATGGTACACACCCCTAATCAGTACCAAATCACAATCATGGTACAGTTATTGGAGTGACCTTGGGAAAGGCACTTAACTTCTCTGTGCCTCACTGGTTAAAGTTGGACAATAATTGTACCTACCTCATAGCAATGGTTTAACATGAGTTCATATACATAAGGTGCTTAGCACGTTGCTGGCACTTAGAGAGAGCTATGTGAGGTTTTAAAGACTAATAGCACTGGGAGATGAACAAGAGAGAAGGTTTGTTGATTGCTGGGTACCCAACTGTGAATCCTGAATCCCAGGATTCCAGCACATAATAGGGCTCACTGAACAAATGAACAAAGTAAGAAACATTAACCTCATAGGAAAAGACCACCAGAGATCAGCTAATCTACCCCCAGATTTGCACCATCTAGAATGTCCATCAAACCCAGGTAGGTAAATTCCACTATGCCCACCATCATCAAAATACACCTGTTGCTGGTCTTTTGGCACTTGATGACATCTAACAACTCAACAACCGAAGGCAAGAGGAGATAGAGACAGGGGCTGGCCCCGTGGCCGAGTGGTTAAATTCGCGCGCTCCGCTGCAGGCGGCCCAGTGTTTCGTCAGTTCGAATCCTGGGCGCGGACATGGCGCCGCTCATCAGACCACGCTGAGGCAGCATCCCACATGCCACAACTAGAAGAACCCACAACGAAGAATACACAACTATGTACCGGGGGGCTTTGGGGAGAAAAAGGAAAAAATAAAATCTTTAAAAAAAAAAAAAAAAAAGAGGAGATAGAGACATACAGACCACAGGACATGCAAACGTGTAGAATAAACACTGGCGTCCAAAGGACAAAACGAAGTTCGGGGGAGCTGGAGGGAGGGCATAAACCTGGGCAACAGAGAATTATAGGAAATACTATCTTCCTTTAATTTATGACTCCTAGAAATAAAAGCCCAAGTTCTCAACAGGGAGGAATTAGGTTAAAGGAAGCCTAAGACAGAACATAAATCCTTTTGCTCGATGCAAAAAGATCAGAGATGAAGTCACGGGGGCGCCACAGATCCTAGTCAATCTTCCATCCACTGAAGACTTGTCCCCAAATGTAATCATTCACCCAAGGATGATACTAGAAATAGGAGGGTTAGCCGCAGTTCCAGAAGGAAAGACGACACAGATGATTCACCTTCTGGTGGCTTTTCCGTGGTTTTATAGAGCTCCACTTTTCAGGGGGACTCAGAGTGCCAAACAGACCCCAGTTCTTTCCCCATAGACTATTGGAAAACTAGGCGTGTTTGAGGAGGCAAACTTGACTCGCCCCCATTTGACAGCCATAGACTTCAGCGCTGTACCGTGCAGCCTGCAGCTAGTTAGTGAGATGAAGGCTGATGCAGGAACCTCACGCGGAAGGTCAAATGCCTCTTCAGCACCAACAGAGACCAGCGTATCTGCCTCGCTGGACCATCCTTTCCCGCTGGATCATCCTTTCCCGGGGGACCCTCGACTCCGACCCCGGGCAAGCCGTGCCCACTCCCGCTCCGCCCTGGCTGCCTCGCCGGGCTGGCCCGCCCGTGTGTCCCCGCGGCCCCGCCCCAGGTACTCACTCCCACTCCTTGCGCCGGGCCTGCGGGGTGCTCTGCATCTTGTGCGCCTCGTGGGCCTTGATGATGTCGCGCTGCTCGATGAGGCCGCCGCGCCGCCGCTTCATCACCTCTGGGCTCACGGGGAGGAAGGGGCTGGAGCTGCCCTCCCAGCCCGGGCCCTCGCCCTCCTGCACCGGGAAGAAGTTGTCGAAGCCGGCGGCCGCGGCGCGCGGGGAGGCCGGCAGCATGCCCACCTCGTCCGAGGCGTCGGCCTCGAGCAGGGCGCACTGCTGGGGCCGCCATGCCTCCTCCTCGGGCAGGGCCAGGACGTGGCGGCGGAGGCGGCCCGCGGGCCCCGGCTCAGGGCTCCCGCTCGCAGTCGGGCAGGGGGCGGGCTCGGGCAGCCTGCGGCCTGGGCTCAGTCCACGCATCTCGGGCACCATCACAGAACATTGCTCTGCGAGGGGAGGCGGGCAGAGATAAGGGGGAGGAGGGGAGGGGAGGGGAGGGGAGGGGGTGGGCACGAGGGAAATAGAGAAGAGAGAGAGGTTAATGATGCTGTCCTCCAGGGCAAGGCTTCTTCGGGCTTACTCAGTGCAACGTCCCGGCCTGGCCCAGAAACTGGCACACAGAAGGAACTCAAAAAATGATGGTTGAACTCAGGAGCAGCCACTGTGGTCCAGATCCCGTGCCAGGTGCTGGGTATCCAAAGTTAAACAAAGCAGACTCAATTTCTGCCCCCGTGAACTTCACAGTCTAGTGCAGAAGACCGAGGTTAAAGCAATAGGTGATAAATGTGTCAGGTGCTGCTGCCAGGAGAGGAGAACTCCAAAGGCTGTCCTTCTCAGCAACGCCCCCTTCTGACAGCACGCTGTCCTCTGCCACTTGTGGTGGAAGAATTCCTCTAACCCTCTCCAGGTGTCCCACCTGCTCTGGGGAGGTCTCACCCCCACCTGCCACCCTAACTCTCCAGCTCTCTCCCTCAGGACCAGCCTCGGGCGGGCTACTCTTGAGCACTGGGTCCCCAAGACCCGTTCCTTCTTCCTTTCCTAATGCCTGCATCTGCTGCAGGATCTGGGAGCATGTGTGGAATCAGGTGCCTTTGCTGGCTCCTTGAGCCTCCTTTTCCGTTTCCATGCCAAGGAGGATGTGGCCAGATTTGCCTCTAAAGACATACTCATTCAGTCTACACTGACTGCATATTATTGCTTACCACCGGTGCCAGGCCCTGGGCACACCAAGAGGAGCTGGGTTCAGTCTCTTGGCAGGAGAGACAGGAAGAAGGTTGCTTTGGCCACACAACATGGTGTGCTATGATGAGATAGTCCTGATGGCTATAGGAGCTCACAGGAGGGGCACCTCGGCCCACCGGGGGGAGGTCAGGAGGGCTTCGTGGAGGAAGTGACCCTGAGGCTGGATTTAGACAGAACTCGCCAGGTGAGAAACAAACAGGAGAGGCTTATAAGCAAGAGGAGGAGCATGTGCAGAGAGGACTTACGGAACCCCAAGGATTCACAGAGTTCCCGTAGCAAGCCTGAGGTCTGGGGGACAGTCCTGACTTGAGAGGACCTGAACTTACCACCTTTTCGAGATACCTGTTTAATGTCTCCCTCCCAGCCATGAGCCCAAGACCTGAATTCCCAGCCTCCTCCTCTGCCACATTCCCAACTATGCCCCTAGTGACCACAAGTGGCACACACATGCCCCCTGGGCCCTAAGAAGTGCCGTTTGCTCCACATGCTCGGAGGGGCTTTAGTGGGCAGCCGCCACTGTGGGGACTGTGCTGGGCCCCCAGGGGAGGCGTCCTCGCAGAATGCTGCCCTCCAGGACCCGCCCCTGCCTTCTCTGGTCTGGACTGCAAGTCAAATTGCAAATCACAAAAACGAAGAATGTGAAAATGGGCAGGAACCTTAACAGTCTAGTCACATCATGCTAAAGGTGAGGGAGCTGAGGTGTGGAGAGGCAGAGAGGCTTGCCCAGGGGCACACTACCAGTAAAAGCTGGAGCTGGGAGAGAGCTCAGGTTTCAAATCCTTGCTCATAGTTTTTTCCACTGTAGTCATCACTCTGCTTCTACCACACGAAGCAGAATCCGTAGATGTCTCTCCCCACCCCCTCCTCATTACACTAAGGTAGTAGATAGAAAAGGAAAAGCCAAGGGGATCTTATGAAAGAGCCTCCCTAAAGCGTCTTCTTCATTTGTCTCTCCTGCCTTTCTAGCGTCTAGACTGTTCTTCCCAGCCCTCCTGGCACCGCACCCCAAGGCCTCGGTGACGCTGGGCTGGAGGCCCTGGGATGTGCTGGTCAGCGCTAGATATTCAGGCACTGGGGCTGAGTCAAGGGAGCAGGGAGAGGGAAGGTAAAGGGTCCAAGATAAGCTTGGTAGGGAGGAGAAAAGAAAGAGAAAATACATTTCAAACCCTGCAAACAGTTGGGTGGGTCCCTAGAAAGAGTGATTCATGTTCCTCACGTTGTCATTCTGTCTCAACTCTGCTTGATGGATTTTAAATTTATCCTTCATTCCTACGATGTTTAAATGTCTCTCCCTCACCACACACATGCACGCACCCCTCCCCAGGCTGCTCCCACACCCTCCCCAGGCTTTAGCACCACCAGAAACTCAAGCGGCCTCAGGTTCTGTCGCCTGCAGCCTCCTCTCCCTCATGTCCGTCCACAGCGATGCTCCTGGGCCACCCTCACAGCTCTCACCAGGCCACCATGACCTGGCTCCTTGCCTCTGCTTCCTGGCCCACCGAAGCCTCTCTCTCCTTGCTGGATTTCCCCTTCCCAGACACTTTGCCAATTTGAATCACGTCTCTGCCAAAATTACAGCAGCAATAATATGCACTGCAGAGCTCCCGCTTCAACAGAATCAATTTTACAAATATCAAAACATGAAATTATCTCATCTTTCCTTTAAGAATTCCTGTTAAACAACCCTTCTATTATTGATATAAATGTTCACCAGGGGAATCTGTCGCCCCCACTTCCTGCCAAGCCGGCCAGTCCCCATGTCTGGCTATCATCAAGCTGAGAGAACATTTTCCATCTCAGGCAATTTAGATAAGACAGGCTCTCCATATTCCAGGGAAGGACACTTGAATCTGCTCTATACTTAGCCTTCCCCCAGCCCCCAAATTCTGGCATTCCTTGAGTTCCTTGAGATCAGGGATTTTGACTTATCTTTCTATATCCAGCACCTAGTACCAAGTTCAACACACAGTAGGTTGTTCAACACATAGTAGGTTGTGGCGATGGTCATCAGTACCGTTTGCCAAATATTCTGGTTATCCTCTTCCTGGGCATATAGTAGGTTGCACTGCCTGGCCCCCAGTGGTTGAACAGGGTCGTGTGACCATTCTGGCCAGTGAGTTGTGAGTGGAGTGATATGTGTCACTTCAAGGCTAAGCATTTAAATGCCAGGGCAAGATCTCTAGATCTAGCAATCTAGATCTAGAAGGACTCGCAAACTCTTCTTGTAAAGGACCAGATAGTAAATATTTTAGACTGTGCAAGCCATGCAATTTCTGTTACTCAAATTCTGCTATTGTAGCATGAAAGCAATCAGGCAACACGTAAATGAATGTGCGTGACTATGTTCTGATAAAACTTTATTTATAAACTTTGGCCTTTCAGCTGCATCTCTTGTACCCCCTCATTGTCACTCAGTCTACGCCCATGAGGGCAGCTTCTACAGAGCAGCAGGCAAAAAGAAGGAATGGAGATCCACAAAACAGAATCAAGGGTGGACACACCAAGTAAGAAGCTTCCTGAGTGCAAAGTTGCTGTTGTGTAGCCCCTGCCCCAAGTCCCTAATGGAAGGAAAACAGGCCCTGCTGCTCTGAGATACTGGTCCAAGAATGAGCTAATGAAGGTTCCAAGGGCACCTATCTTCCTTGCTTTCCACCCACCTCTCTTCTTATTCTTTATGGCTATGTCTGGCTAATGGGCAGGGGATGAAATTTTAAATTATGGGGGTCCTAAGGAGGAAGAGGGCTTAGTGACACATTTGCAACCCAGCAGCCCCATAAAAACTCTCCCCTTGCTTGTCAGGGCACCTGGGGAGCAGGGTAAGGGCTCTCTCGAACTCCATCCGCACCCCCGACCCCCGCAAGCATCCTGCACTGCCAAAGACACGTGAGCCAGTAGCTACACTCCTGCCTGCCTCTGAAGTCTCCCCCTCTCTCATCCTTCCAGAGTCAAAGATGAGATCTTCCTCCCCAAAGGAATATTATGTCCTTTGCACCATCTTTCTCTTTATATCCTATCAAGACTTTTAATTGTCATTCATCTATTTTTGATCATTTTAGCAATAGTGGCTCATGCATCCCCTTGGCTTGTCTGTGCCTCTCAGGCCCAGCAGGTGAGTCTTCCATGTCAAGGACTTACATCCTCCTCTCATTGGGTTCATGCCCATCCCGCTTCTGCCTTTCCACTGCTCACTTTCTGATTCCTCCAGAACATGTACATCCTCCAGCCATCTTCTGAAAAGTGAGCACACCAGGAAGTCAATGAAGCTTATGCTCTTGAGAAGGTACTGTCTTCCTACCCTGAAAATTTTGAGCTCAGCGAGGAGGAAGAAGTCTCCATTGCAGACACCACCAAGTAGCACAGGCTGGGAGACGGTGGGCAGAAATGGGACTGGTGGGCAGTAAAAGGTGAGTGGTGGGCACGCAAGTGTCTCTGAGCTGGCCCTGAGCTATTCTAGCTCTGTTCCCTCTGTCTGCCCTGGGCAAGAAGAGGACAGAAAGGTTCTAATTCCTAACTGTTAGAAATGAAAAATCACAAGAGGGAAACAATTTTTAAAATGTAATACTACACAACTGAGACACCATGCTGAGTTCCTTTCCAAAAGGGATTCTCTAGAGAAGAGAACAGATTTAGTCAATGGGTTTCTGCCCAGCAAAAGGGAAGGCAGTGAATGACCCTACTCATCATCCTCCCCCACCTGCTCAGAGAGGAAACATTCCTGGTGCAGAAATGAATATTCATCTAGGAATTTTCTTATCTGAGCCAGCTTGCTAACCAATCCCAAGGAGGAGCAAAAGCTGGGTGTTATTTTCATCTGCCGTGACCTCCTAAAGGTGTGGATTTCAGGTGTTAGTGTACATTAGAATCATCTACATTGCTGGTTTCAAAGTGCAGCTTCCTGGGACCTCCCCCAGAGAGTCTCATGCAATAGATCTTGGGTGGGCTCAGGAATCTGCATTTTTAATAAACACCCCCTCCCCCTAGGAATCATGTCTTGAGAAACACTGTCTAAAAGCAGCATGTAGTCCTGAGAGGTTGTGCTAAGTTGGTTAGAGGTGTTGTCCTGGATAAATTAGGATGCGAAAGGCCCCTAGGACAGTGTCCCTCTGACCCATTTTCAGTCTATATCATGAAATGAAGTTACCAAAAAACATCCAGTATGAGTTCCTTGACCCACCCCCACTCCCTGCAAAACTCTATCCTCCCC